ATAAATATAACAACAGTTATAATAAATATAACAACAGTTATAATAAACATAACAGTTATAATAAATATAACAACAGTTATAATAAATATAAAAACAGTTATAATAAATATAGATGTCAGAGAGCAGAGTGTTTTGATGCTGCTCAGCCTTTCTCAACTTGTAGGAACAAAATTCATAAACTCCAGGCTCCAAAGAAACGTTAGTGCTTCACCAGTTTGGACTTACTGTCATGCAGACGCTGCATGCACAATGAATGCAGCTGAGCCTGCATCAGGGTTGCCAGATAAATTTAAAATGTATTATTTACCCCCTCCTTTTCTGTGCACTTGTTCAGCAAACACAACACACACCTCATCTAAGAATATCTTTACTCAGCACAAAAGACAGTTTAGGACAAAATACTATTATTTTAAAGACACGGTCCTTTTTTTCTCCAGCTGCTCCTTCTTCAGGGGTCACCACAACGAACTAAGTCGCACGAAGACTTGGCAATTATTTGTATACCGGATGTCCTTCCTGACTAACCACAGCCCTCTGTGTGGAGCAGAGCTGCCATCTGGGGAGCAGAGGGTGGGGGTTAAGGGCCTTGCTCAAGGGCCCAGGGTGGGGAAAATGAGAGTGGAGGCAGGTGTGGGTGCTTCACCTTTCCCACCCATATTTTGATATATACCAGGAGTTGAACCAGTGATCTTCCTATCACAGGCCCACCTTTAACCTCTGTGCCAAAGTATTACTATTTCTTATCTGGCAACCCGACTGACATGGAAACTGCAGCGTTTTCATGTAAACCCTCATTTTTTATTACTCCCAGTAAACATTGAGAAACCACTAATGATTTCCATAAGTTGTTCAGTGTAAGCAGGACCTTATTGATAGATCACTTGTGATCTTATAGCAGGTAGATCACCTTGACTTGGTCATTTTTAGATCGCAGGCTGAAGGTCTGGGCACCCGTTTTAAATCGTCCAGCAGGTCAAGAAAAAGAGACGGTTGGAAACAGCTCCGTAAACTCCTGGTCTCTGAAGAATTAAAGCAGAAAAACCAACATTCGTCTTCGAATGTCATTTTTCTTGAGTATCGGCCGACAGCTCAGCTGTGACTAAACACCCTAAATAATATGCTGTCTGTCCAAGAGCCAGTTCTGTCCATGAGACGAGCGTTTCTCTTCGTCGGGTCGATCCGAGGTCAAGTGCTTCTAAAGTCAGACGTGTGTCGTCGTCCTGAACCTCTCAGCTCATCGGTCGTTACCGCTTCAGATCGTCTGAGACGTTTCTTATTTCTATAAACTGACGTTTAAACATCTCGCTCAGTTAAAACCTTTTATCCAATAATCCACTACCTATGGCCACTTTAGAGGGGCGTTAAGAGGATAATCTCTGGGATTATCTGAACACCTTTATTGTAGTTTGGGTAAAGAGCCAAGTTCTGTTGCTTCATTAAAGTCCTTGAGCAGTCGTTAAGTTTAAGAACCTTTACATTCAACCTCTTCACCTCATATTAAAACTTTGTAAAGTCTAAAACCAGCGTCGTTTAATCCAAATGTTTTCCCACTAGTCAATAAAAATAACTCGTCTGTTTATTCATCTTTATTTATAACTGGACAGTTTGAACACTTGGAGCTGAAATTGCTGAAAACGGAGACAAACACTTAGGCCGGATCGGTCCATCTTCACGGATCAGGACCGGAGCGTTCGAGGATCCGAAGGCACGTTTTCTGACCCTCGGGTCCAATGACACAATCACACTAACAACAATCAGAGCGGCGCGGGTGCTTGGTGGTTGATTTGGCAGCACGCTGCAGAAAACACACGAAGGCCAACAGGAAGCGGTTTAATGTGGAATCGGGCTGCGTCTCACAGAACCGTCTGGACAAGCATCAGGATTTATTCTTCCATAAATGGAGACGGAATGACAGAAAACAGGAATTTTCTTCCGCAGCCACCGGAGCACCAGATGCAGCTTCAGAAGAGGTTTGGAGAGAAGAGACGGCGGAGAAGATAAATGAAACGGCACATTTCGAGCTGAAATGCAGCAAGTGAAGCAGCTGCGGGACCTTGGGCTGTCGCAGTTCTCTGAAAACTTTCGTTTCCAGACGCCTCAACGGCTGCAGGTCTGAGCACGGAGCTGCTTCACTTGGTTCCACACGCAGCAACTAAAATCTTTTTATTCAAAACAAGAACCGTTTGGCTTTTTAATCATCCCTGAATCACGGACGTCTGGCGGTCTCCCAAAGTTCTCCTTCCCTCCAGCTCGTCTTGGTTTCAAGGCTCAGTAGCGGTAGTGGTCCGGTTTGAAGGGCCCCTCGGTGGGCAGGCCCAGGTACTTGGCCTGTTTGTCCGTTAGCTTCGTGAGCTTCACCCCCAACTTATCCAGGTGAGCAGCTGCCACCTGCTCATCCAGCTGTGGACACACAAAACATTTTCATTCAACCTTCAGTTCTACAGGCGAGTCCCAGTGAGCCTCGAGACGGACCCGATTTCAACAGAGGGATGACGACAGACAGGATGTGTACGAATTTAAATTATTTTTAAACAAGTGACAATAAAACGCTAATTAAAAGAAAAAGTAGCAAAAAAAACAGCAGCTAGATTATAAGGTGGTGTAGAAAACTAAAATCAGTCTGTTGGTTTTGCCATTTACTCGATGTGAGCAGTTCTACAGAAAAATGAAGAACAGACGACAACGCAGAAATCGAGGATTAATAAAAAAAAAAACAATGTTCTGCAGAAAACGAGGATTAATAAATAAAAAAAACAATGTTCTGCAGAAATCGAGGATTAATAAAAAACAATGTTCCGCAGAAAAAGATTAATAAAAAAAAAAATTATGTTTCGCAGAAAACGAGGATCAATAAAAAACAATGTTCCGCAGAAAAAGAGGATTAATAATAAAAAAAAATATTCCGCAGAAAACGAGGATTAATAAAAAAACAATGTTCCGCAGAAAACGAGGATTAATAAAAAACAATGTTCC